CCACCGGAAGTGCCATTAGTAGGTGCGGTGTCACGATTTGCGCTCGGCCCTGCTGGAATATTGGTCGGGACATGTCCCTACCGTCCCTACCCAAACCTACGCCCATGGTGATCGGCCCTCATGGGTGATCGGTATTGGTATCGGCAGGAAAAAACCTGATCGGCACATCTCTAATTATTATTATTTTTAGTGTAATTCTTCTTATTGAGTTGTTGGTCACCTAGCACAACAAAGGACGAAAAACTCCTCAGAATGTGACTGACCACAGGCAAGTGGTCCGACAGGCTCCACCAGCGCTCCTCAGAATTCTTTATTATTATTCTTTTTTTTTTCTAGATTTGATCATACAGTCCAAACAACAAATACAATAGTTAACAAATTTCCAAAAACAAAACAAAACATTCTTATTCAATGAATCAATCAAAAATAACATCAACAGCAATAAACAGTAAATAACAGACAACTGCTACACCAATTAGCAGTCAAAACACTCACAAAACATTTTTCTACATATCAACAAATTCACAATCTGAACCCACCTAGCACAACAAAGGACGAAAAACTCCTCACAATGGGTAAGTTCACACTGCAGCCTGAAGTGACCCAATTCAGATTTTTTTGCCAGGGCCGTTCACACTGCCAGTAAATGCGACCTGTATGCGTTCTGCAGTGTGAACGGGCAAACGACCTGAAAGTGTCCCGCATGCGCAGTAGAGGGCGCAATAGCGTCAGCGTTCTAAGTGTTCTGCCAACTGCCATAAAAAGAAGAAGCGCTCAGTGTTTGCGGAAGTAAACATGGAGGCTAACGGTGGAGCTTAGCTTGCGTATTTGAAGTTGTTGTCCAGCCGGAGCAGCATATTAACAACTTAATCCTCATATAATCCGTCATGGTTGTTTTTCTTCCCGCTTGCGCATATCAGGACACAGAATAGTGAGATTTGTTGAGTGACGTTCAGTTCGGATGAATGCGACCTGGACGTTAGGTCGCATTTGAATCGGATACGTATCGGATATGGGTCACATTCGAAAAAGAATCCGACCTGTGCTGTTCACACTGCCATGAAAAGATTGGATACAGGTCGCATTACGTCAAAAAAATCAGAATTGAGTCACTTCAGGCTGCAGTGTGAACGCACCCATTATGTGACTGACCGCAGGCAAGTGATCCGACAGCCAGGCTGAAAAATAAAAGACAGTTAGCGCCGTGACTGAGTGATCAGCCACGAACACCAACCGGCGCAGCTCCCACTCATAGGGTCACATTTTTCCAGCCCAACCACAAGAAAACTTTACAAATTATATTTATAGATGTTAAATATTCTTACAGTACCTCGTTAATTGTTGAACTTGAAAATTATGACCCTAAGTAAAAAAAGAAGTGAAGAGCTGCCTCTCTCGCACCTACCTCCACCAGCGCTCCTCAGAATTCTGGTGGGGGAAGCCGCGAGAGTGCCTGACGGACCCGTTGCATGCAGTCACTCATCACACCACTAGGTGGCTCCAAATAAACGCATTGACCATCACTATAATCATTTCGATCAAAACTCACACAAAGACACACGAGCTCTTCTCTCTGTTACATCAGGAAATCTAGTAAAGACTTGGTTACATGGCCAGGCCTTCAGGCCAGTTTGAATAATTATATTTCCCCATTAGCCAAGCTGAGAGATGAGTGCTGGAATCACTGGTCCAGAGACCCAGTCAGGTTGGCGGCAGATCCAGATCTGCTTCTTCTCCTAAAGTGTTTAAGGAGCTTCTATTGATGATAAGTACAATCCTTGAGTGAAGAATAATCGATATAGTGATGTAAATAACATCTGAAGTCTAACACTTTAGATTTGTTATAAAACCACAGATTGTCAGACGGATTTTAAATAAACATACTCTGTATCATTGACTATGTGCCTGACTAAATATACACAAATAGTCCATATTAAAGACTAGTTGTATTTTTTGTCTGCATATTTTTATCTTAGTAAATACAGCATTTTAAGAGTTAACCATGTCGATGCAAAGGAATTTGCATTTGGTTTCATTTAGACCACATTTTCTTGGCCAGCGTTGTTAGTCGGTTTTCCCCCTCCTCACCATTCTAGCTCCTTGCAACCACACCTCCTTTCTACCAAAACACAATAAGGTCTTTATCCTCTTGCTGTGACCAACGACAAAAAGGAATAATCTGCTTGTGTACTTCAGTGCTTTGATCGGTCATGTTGTCCATATGTAGCTCTGTTTATTAAGAAAGCATGTGAGAATTCACCCATTTGTGAAAGCAATGAAGAAAACACAACATAAGCAAACAGAATCCATTACAAGCCTCCAGATGTGACGTAGTGTGATTACAACACAAGCCTCTGTGTGTTGTTGAGTCTGAGAGACACTCTGCTTTTGAACAGATGCCTGCAGCACAACTTAGGCTACAGCAATCTTTACACAACATATACTGCATTTTAGAAAAACTCATTAACCTACTCAAATTTTACCTCACTGGCTCTATCCAGTCAGAGAATGATTAGCCTTTGTTGGGAGGAACCAGCATTTCCAGAAACCAAGCAGGCAGTGATGTGAGCATGTGAGTTTCTGCTCCATCTGTAAGTAAGTTAACAAAACAATCAACCCAGTTATTCTGGCAGTTCACTATCAAAAGCAGAGTTAACTTTGTGTTGTTAGTTTTTATTACTTGATTGATTTCATATTTAACTCTATCACAGTTCTGATCTGATAAATACACAGAAATTTTCTTACTGTTAAGTAAGCAGAGGGCGCTCATAGAAAACGTGAAAAGTGCATGTTTCAGGTTGATTTTCAATAGATTGTTTAGACTCTTTAGTTAATGAACATTGATATAAATTGACAGCCCTTTCTCCTCATTCCTCATGTGTCAGCTTGATTTGAGTTCACACCCCTTCCCAGGAAACCGAGCATCGTTTACGCTGTCCTGTTTCCTCTGCCAGAACGCCAGCTGTTTTTCGTCCTCTAATTTCCTTTGCTTGCCCCTTTCCCTCAGCTGTCCTCACATGCAACTCTTAACTCTTCTGGTTCCTTTGTCGCTTTCTCTTCTCTCCACACTGTAAAGTCTAATAGCTACCCTGACTTACACAAATTAGTTAACTTTACTAGGCTACCAATAAAATGCACTATTGTCTTAACATATATGAAGTGAAAAACACAACACACATATTGTTTAGAGTGAACATTACTTTATTTAGAGTTAAGCTCACTTGTAAACTGTAAGTTGCCAGCATCTCTTTCACTGTGCATTTAAAGAAATGTGCATGTGCAGATCAAATACAACAAAAATGTCTCAACATAATCTTAAGGTGTTTTCTAGATTTACACAGTCCAGCGGCTGACCTCCAGATGTCAGCATCGCAACTTAGCATAGCTCAAATCATCAGCGAGTGTGGTACTTAACTTCTATCTGCTGCTATGGTTTGTGCTGAGTTCAGTCATGATCCTAAGAACTGAAAGCAACTGGATGTACAGACAAAACAGATATTGATCATGCCCCTTAATTGCTTGAGTATTCCTTCAGTACGCAGCACTGGAAATGTTGGCAGGACAGACAGTTTACAACATTTCCCTGTTGAAATGCAATGTTTTTGTTTGGTTTCATCACAGGATTGGGACACTGATGAATCCAGGTGGGTGGGATGCTGAGTATTTAAATAGTCATTCTGAGTTACTAAGTCAAAAGTACATCTAAAGTAGTTTATCGAGTGCATCCTACTCAATTGGTTTAGTTCCTTACACTCATCTGTGTATTCTACAAAGGATGCACTAATGGGTACAACGTTCTCTACTTTTCTTATTGCAATCAGTTTGCATACTTTTTTTAATGATGTCTAATTGGATTTTACTAAAGTTTTCTGGTTTGCATTGTTCTCCACTGATTCTTCTGTTACTCAGCTCTTTTCCTCATTCTGTGTCTCAGGTTGATTTTTAATACATTGGTTAGACTCTAACCAAAGCATCTGCTGTCACAGCAAGTTTTTCTTTTTGGTATTAATTCTTATTAATGGCTTTGCTCTCCCTGCATGCAATACTTTGGGTCATCCATCAACCCTTGTGCGTGCGAGGACTGAGGCAAACGTAGAGGACTGTGGCAAATTATACAAGTTTTACGGGTGTGGGGTCGGTTGGACCCCATTTGTAAACACAAGGGTTAAACTCCAAACATGACATTTTGGAGTTTCATGGGTCATCCATTAAACTCCAAAATGTAAGGGAGAATTATTTTATTTATTTATTTTTAACAGAAATTAGGCTGATGCTACAATTCAACATTGAAAGGAAGTTAGTGCGTAAAACTCCAATGTAAAAAAAGGGGAAAAGAAGTAAATGAGTAAAAATAAAATAGGAATATTAGGTTTTAATTAGGGCAAAAACATGACGTGACATGTCTTTGTCAGTTTGGTGTCACAATCAACACCAAGTATGCCTGCTGGTGAGAAGTGACTCACAGACAGGAAATATATGAGGAACATTGTTGGAATATTCTGGGGGTTCCTCCCAAAGTGGCAGAATCACTGCTGCTCGTTTGGGTCCATCTGGGCTCCTTTCTAACGCCACATGATCCACCGAGCGACATCTGTGGTAAAAATGGGAGGATAACGCAGTTCTCCGTCCTTCCGAGACAGCGGTGTTGAAATGCCTGTCAGCAAGCAGGCCCATTAGCCTATACCTTTAACGGTGAAAAATACTGCAGGGGAGCTCCGTGTAAAAGGCGAATGCACGCTTTACATCCTAAACCCATCTGACAAATGCAACCTCGTCCCTCATTTAGGCAATCTCTTGCACACAAATATATTTTTCCCCCTTTGTCTGTTGCTTAAAAAAATTGCTGTTCAATGTTCATCTGAAGCTCGAAGCATCGTCAAAAACATCCTTCTGAGAACGGGCCCCTTTCTCTTTAAACAGTGGCTTATTATTGAAGGAATTGAAATGAACGGGCTTCTCACCTCAGTTAAGACGCGCTCCAAGACGTGTCACCTCCCTGCTGCACATAGCGCTCCCCTGTGATGATGGATCCGTTCCACGGCGGCCTGATGGAGGTAAAACCAGATAAAAGGAGCAGACGGGGAGGACTGATAATAAGGCGGCCGCCGCACATCGCAGCACACGGCAGCAGCACGCTGTGGATGGACGAATGCTCCCCCTGCAGCAACAGCGGCTGCAGCGCAGTGGAGAGGCACCGCACCTACACCCCGAGAGCCAGATGGATGTCTGAGCTGCACAAGCTCCAGCCTGCACTGACGAACACAGTGCTCATTTATGTTAAAAATGCTCAGTTATACTGGAGTGTGTTCGCCCCAAAAGCATAAGATGCTTAAAAAAAGCAACAAAAAAACTATAGCTTTGTTGCAGCAAACGTGTGGACAATGTGTACAGTCAGAGTGTACCCTGGCCAATCCCTTCCTTCTGCTACTCTGCACACAACCCCCCACTACACAGCCCACTCAACTCAAGATTGGTGTGGCTGAAAATAAAGTAGAATATGATTGTAAATGTAATTGTAATTGAATGACAGATTCCCACATCTTGCACTGAGCCTACTTTGAAATGTGTTTTCAGAGCAGTGCAGTTCCACGTATCAGCTGTTTTTTTATGTAGTAAGAACAATGGAAATACATTACCTCTTAATGATCAGAGTACTTTCAAGTTATTTGTACTTAAGTGGCTGTATTGTGTAAAATTGCTCTTTTTTTTTAGCTTTACATCTGGCTAGGACATCATTCCCTCATCCATCATGAACATACCTGGAGTGTTACTTTGATTCTTTCATGCATGTTTGAGAAATCCTTTAAGCGTCACCTTTGAGAAGCAGCTCCTCCTCTTAGCTGTAGTTTCCAAGCTTCTGAGCCTCTGCATTAAAGACCACCCCTCCACACTGACTTCCTCGCTCAGCTCCTTCAAACTAGCCAGCAGCAATTAGCAAATTGCTTGCAATTGGTGGAACTGCACATCTGCTGAGCTAATTATGCCAGCTACTGAAAGCAGAGTGCCAGAAAGAGCAAGAGTTTCTTAAAAAGACAGAGACTCAATTTCAAGTAGTTAAATTATGAAGTCCAATTTCTTTTAAGTTATGTTTAATAAATGCAGCATTTTAATAACAACTGACAGTAACGTTTGTTGGGAGTCGGACTTCTGGGAACCAAAAATGTTCCAATCTCACACAGTGACATCAAAATACTTGGGAATCAGAATTTGCACCAATATTGGCCTTATGGAATTATTAATAATTGTAATAAGTAGTTTACTATGAATTAAATTATTAATAAATTTAAATGCTTTAGCTTAAATGGAGTGCCCATTCCAGTATCTCTGGAATCATAAACCAATCTCAGTCTCTTCACACACTTAAGCAAGTCTGAGAATTTATTAACAAAATAAAATCCAATCAGATTAATAAACCAACAATGACAAAATGAAGTGGAACACTGAAAAATGAACTTAAAAACTAACTAACTAATTAAACAAGAAAACAAAAGGAAAATCAGATTTGTAGAATCAAATCTGATTTGGATTTGTCCCCCTTTTCAGATGAATGTGATGAGAGTGGGAGAAGAGATTGTTAAGAAAGGGAGTCGGTGAATACTACACTTAATTAAATTCCGGATCCAGTCAACAGTGAATATGCCACTGTTTTGAGCATGTGGCGTATTCAAAACAGCAAAGCAAAAACATAATATAAGAATAACACAGAGTATTGCATGCTTGCTTAAGACATGAAAAGCAATTCACAAAAACGCCTAATTCAGCCCAGATACGTGACGGTCTTGCTTTTTGTTGAAGTCAGTCAGGTTCAAGCATGTCCAAAAATCCAAAAATTGAAGTAAAAGCAAATAAATAAATAAATAAAAATTGTTGCACATTTCTTTTGAATGGAGTATGCTATTTTTAATAACTCTGCAGTAAATTTGCAGTAAATTTGTCCATTTACATTTACAGTCTCTTATTTTTATCTTTCTATTTCTAGATCATTTATTTATTCTTTTATCTTAGTTTGAACATGTGTGCCTTCATTTACTTTTAACTGGGATCTAGTACACCTGAGTGGGATAATATTTCCATTCTATTAGAGAAACAACTTTTATTTTGGTCTTCTGGAGCTCCTTGTGATGCTGTCCTTGGAGTGTAATTCTCACAGCCATTGTCAAATCCTCTACTGCTTACGTATGTGAGTTTGTGAATGAATGGAAGCCATTATGTGCTCTATAAATAAAACATGTGTTCAAGCAGATTTTAAGTAGTCGTTTCATCCCAACAGCGTGCTGGTTTTTGTTCCCCGTCATCATATAAGATGCAATAATTTCATTTAAAATTTGAAAATGCAAGGAAACAGAAAAAGTAGACAATAAAGAAGCCATTCATTTCTATGCAATATGCCTCATCAATCACGCCAATTGTTCTGTTTATGCATTCCTCTCTCCAAAAACGTGTGTTAATTTTATAAAACGACAAACGCCGAAAGCTAGTCGTGTCTGCTGAATCCACAGCGCCGCCCCTTCAAAATCTGACCCAGTCTTTCAAACAAACACACCTCGGAAACGGAAAGCCCGCTGACGGACAGGAATGTGGTCCAATGACAGCACAGGATTTATTTCAGTGACCAATCAGCGTCTACCATGTCAGGCGTTGTGTGTTTTGTTGCCAGCGGAGCGCCTGAGGGAGGAGGCGGTGGTTATGATCAGAGGGTTAGCGATGGCCGCTTCTTCGGTACGGTGGCTGAGGAGACTGTGCCTTGTTGTTTTGATATGTCCCCTCTTTGTCTCAGCCTTTTTGAACTTAGAGGAGCTCAATGAAATGAAATATGGGATTCAAATTCTTTCCGACCCCGTCATCTTGGGGCAGGTGAGTCAAGGCGTTTCAGACGCTAACGGTAACATGTAGCACTTTGGCTAGGACGAAAGCTACTGTTTTTAGCGATAATGCTTTTGTGTAGTCGTAATTGTTAACGTACGCTAAGACTGTTGGTTCGTTTGGATTTAAGACATTTTCTTAAATCTTCACCTGGAGATTAGTAGTTGTGAGTTTACATGCGCAGCTCATTGCAACAGCTGTCACTACATCTTTTACACAGATAGCTTCTCTGTTTCCACTGTGTTTACATCACAAACACTTAACTGTTTGGAAACCATCAAGGTTGCTTGCTAAAAATCAATGTTCACTGTTTATATTAAAAGCTAAAACAGTTGTTGGGGGTGTCTTCTTCATGTTTTAGACCAAGACAGAGGAGGTCATGATGGTGTCCAATAAATACAAGCAGCTCTATGAATGTCGACTTCCAGCCCAGGCGGTCCGGTTTCATCAGGATCCAGCTTCTGAATCCGACTCGCAGGGCTACACTGGACCAGACATCCCGGAGCTGTTGAGGCCAATGCACAAAGCCCCTTGTCTTGTGAAGGTTGGTGCTTAAACGTATCTGTGTCTGCCTCTGCTTATCTGTGTAATCCAGTTATCAGATGCTCAACCTGTTAATTAATAAAGCGATTAGAAAGCGTTCGTTTCAAACTGCAGCATAGGGATAGTGGCTCACAGTTGAGCTTTTGCAGGAAAATAGTTTAATACATGTGCTATTGCACATGTTGCTCTTACACTGACTTTAATAAATGTTTGTGATTTTTGCAACGTTACTGCTTATACATGGGGTTTTTTTTGTACAGAGGTGCTTCAGTGCAATGGGAACTACTTGTTCTGTAATTGTACCACTACATCTTTGAATTTGGTTACTGTTTCTACAAGATAACACCATTTCCTGAAACCTGAATTGTTTCACTGTTACTTTTATCTTTCAAACAAAATGATGCAGTTGTCAGGCATAATGTTGCTTTTCTTTTCTTGGAAACAGTACATGGTATTTTAGTATATAACACATTTTCCTTGGAAAAATCAGGAATTTGGTTGAAGTCTTTTCCAGATCCGGACAAGTATGGAAAAGCAAAAAGTCTTGTGCTGTTAGATTTGTATTCTCTGTTCTTTCTACCTACATGATAAACATACTTTTGGAGTGTATTTTATTTAAAAAATACACATAATCCTCCTTAGCATAGATTTTCATAATCTATTTAAGTAGGTCTAGATTTCACTTGCATAACTGTCTTTGCTTTTCATTCAGTTTCTTTCAGTTCCTCCCTAAAAATCTGCAGATGCAGACACATTTCCAGACACTCAGAGGTTAATTGGATAGATGTAACTTAGTTAGGAGGACACATTATGATGATTTGTTTAAGAAAACAGTAAACAGACTGTGTTTAATTCACACATCTATTCATCCATCAACTATTAAGCCATCTATCTGTCCACCCAGATAGATGTCTGTTTTTGCACGGTCCATGTATGCCACAAATTTAAATATATTTTACATCTAAATCATGGAACAAACATAAACACAGAAATCATGAAATTTCTATAAGTAAAGGATTTTAAAAGAGAAAATGTTAAGAAACCTTTTTAAGTGTATGCAAGTTTACATTTTAGTCTCTAGTCATTAAGGTACGCTATGGGAAAAATGTGGATACAAGCACCTTTTGGAGAAGTAATGAACTATCAAGTTAAAAGTTGCCAGCTTTTAACAACAACAAAAAGGAAGTTCTGGGGCGCCCCACATGCGGAGGCTATAGATCCGCCCTGGATTCGATTCCCGACCTTGGAATCTTTGCTGCATGTCTTCCCCCTTTCGCTCAATCCCCATTTCTCGTCTGGCAGCTAGCAACAGAGACTACAAAAATGAGGACGTTTTGCAGTGAAGAAAAAACACAGTAGCCAGCAATTCCCCAGTTTTACTAGAAAACCTTCCATGTTCACACAAATTTTTTTTTTTTTTTTTTCTGTGTTCTGATGACAAAAGAAATGCTGCATCGAAAAGATAATCTGCTGTCTTTGTTTATTGCAGACAAAGGACTGGTGGACATACGAGTTTTGTTACGGTCATCATATTAGACAGTATCACCTTGAAGGTAAAAACCATTCATTTCTTTAATTGACAAGCATAATTGTAAAGTAAAAAATATATTTTTCACTGAACTAAATTTTTTCAGACCTATCTATGAGTTAAACCAGGGGTGTCACCTCCACTGTTGGTACTCTACATGTTTTAGATTTCTCTCGGTGGTGGTGACTACCTCCGAAAGCATGCTAATGTTCTGCAGAGGCCTGCTAAAGAGACACTGTTTGATCCACTTGTGTTGATTCAGAGAGAGAACTAAAACATGGAGGACACCGGCCTTTGGCTCCATACAATGCTGTAAACCAGGGACTCTTCTCTCATAGGCTGTGCTGTTGGGTTATAACTTGGTGTCGGTTCCTTGCAGGATGATGTTTAAATCATTGAGTTGCTTTTTTTCTTCTTCCTCAGAATTGTCAAAGAATATGAAAGAAATCCTACTTTAAATTATATATGAATATTTTGAACAAAGTTCTGA